TTTAATTGGAAATGCTTATAACAGAAGATTTGGACTACATCAGAACTGCTTTAATAATAAGTTTTAAGTTAGGATATTGTTGATCCAACACAGTTTGTCAAGGAAACTTACAGTTATAAATAATGCAATTTTACTCAGCATGGTCCCTCTGCATAATTTTCTCTAGGAACTGGAGATTGCATGGGGTAGGTGAAGATTCTGGGGAGACCTTCTTTGGGAGCATGAACACAGCAGAATGAGATACTTCAATATCTGGAAAAAAAAGCTCAATAGAATTGAGCATCTTTCCTCTTCCTCAGAACATACATTTAGTCAATACTAAAATGCTATAATTTCTGACACACAAACTTGAAAGCACTTTGGGTCTGCTATTTTTCTGCTCAGAATTAACCTCTCCCAATACCTTATAAATATGATGAACTCTTAATTATAGTTTATAATTATTTTAACTTCATAAATACATCCTTTTTCCCTACTTTCCCATAAGATAATCCTCACTCTCCTGTGCCTTAACTATATTTCTGTTATTATGTTTACTACGCTTAACTCTTTAAATATTTATTTCTAACAATAAATTTTAATACCTTTGAGTTTCGGTTTATTGCTTATGGTTTTACATTTGTCGTAGAATTCTTTAAATTTTTGTTAAATTTAATTGAGCTTTGAATTTAATTAAGTCAAAGAGTTGCATATTTTTCCGTGAAACCATCCACCCTCTTTCCTAATTTACTTTTGACCAATGACAGATATTTGAGGGATGGACAGGTTTAAGGGCACACACAGTATTTTGAAATGGAGCAGAACAAAGTTAAATGATCCACAAGGAGATCAATGCTTAGAATTAGATCATAGAAGCATAATACTCAAACCAACAAGCTCACCATCTTGAAGGCTGTAATGAAGCTAGAAATATATTTTCTCTTTCTTTGCTGTGGATTAGCCTTAAGAGATCTTTATTTCCAGACTTATAGAAAATAGGTGCTATGAAAATATGGTCAATTATTATTGGTAAAGTTATTCATCTATTTAGTGGAGTAGGTAAAATAATATTAATAAAATTTAATGTATTTTAGTCAGTAAATAATTCAAAAATTTAGGGAAATAGAAAAAGACTGAAAATAATTTAAAATATAAATTATTTAGAAGAACTCTTTTCTCAGTTTAATAATAAAATCATTAAGTTTAAAATGTTTATAAGTTCATATTATCTTATAATTTGAATTAGTAATGAAAATTCACATAAATAAGAAGTTATGGACCTTTATTCCGTTACATGCTTTCAAGGAAATATAATTCTTTTTACTTACTTGTCAAGAAAATAAACAATTATCTCATAATAGGCTCTTGGTGGAATTAAGATTTCGTGTTATATATTTCACTGAATATTTGTCTTTGTAGAAATAAATTTAAAGTTAGAAGTTTTGATTTAGGCTGCTAGTTTTTTCTTAGGTGAATCAAGCTCTGGCCAAAAAATAATAGCATCATGGATATTGAAACTTCGTACAAATGTTTTCTAAATTTGTCAGGTAATTACAATCACTCAAGACACTTGTTATACATGCAGATTATAAATTAAATTTGATGGATTTGTGGGAGCCCAAAGAATCTGTTTCTTTTAAGATAAGAGTCCAGGTGATTCTCTTTTTCCAACATACTTGGGCAACTGCATGTCTATACTATCTTAATAAATTAAAAATTTGGGGAAACCTGCAATGCTTTTGGTCATTCATCACCTTTTCTTTCTCGGGAATATTTACTTTCTTGTCCAGGTTTATCTATAAGGATTAATCATGTCAAACTGCTTTTTTCTTAGCCCATGTTGTTTCCTGCATTTCAAATCTGGGGCCAATGAGTTCCCTCAGTTGACCACATTTGCCATCTGAGCCTACATTTAGTGTCCTCTAGGAAGGATTCCTTGACCTACTGTGCCAATATTTCTCCACCTATTGTACTATAAATCACCTTTGCCTCATATCTACCCTGGTACTTAGCATTCTTCATTGTACTCTTCTCTTTTAAATCTTTCCAATTAGACCATGAGATTCTTGTGGGCAGACAAACTACCAATTACTCTTCATGTTCCCAGACTATTATAAATCTGACCTACGATAGAATATCTAATAAATGTTTAATAAAGGAATGAAGAGTATCAATGGTTTGGATTCTATCTTTACAATTTTAAATCTCTAAACATATGATGCTTTTAGAGACCGTGTCTTTTTTTTCCCTCTCAGTGTTCCATCTATATGAATAGTTGTCATTGCTAGTTTTACATTAATAGCTAAAGATCATTAATAAAAACATTTAATTAACTGGTATAAAAATATCAAAATAATACAGATATGTGCAAATAATATAAGGTAACATAAGTTAAAAGTAAGCCTTCCTTACCATCTCCAACTCATGATAGATAATGACTACTATTTTCTTGTTTGTATTTCTAAAAATGTTAATATGCATAAAGCCCATATATGTAGATATAAACATTTTATACATATTCATTTATGCAGAAATACACAGACTTTTATACATATATGTTTGTTTTTGTGTATACTTTTATACAAATATGTTAATACTAATATCTTAGAGAAAATTTCATATCAGTTTATATAAATCCACCTCCTTTCTATTGGCTATATATTATTCTATTTTGTGTATGTATCATGATATAGTTAATTAATCCTCTCCTACTGGGTATTCAAGTGTTTTCATTTTTTCTCATTATAAACAGTACTAGAATGACTACTCTTACATATAAATCTCTGTGCAATGAAGAATTTTTCTGATTAAAGTAATATGGATTTTGGATAGGTATTTCTGAATTAACCTTAGGAAAGACTGTTATAATTTATACTCCCATCAAGGAGAAGAGAATGTCTATTTCTCCACAACCTCACTAATTTTGTATTATTCAATTTATATCTGGGTGATCTCATGTATTTTAATTATCATTTTTTTACATATGGGTGAACAAGAGTATCTTGACAAGTATATTAAGGGTTTGTATTTCTGCAGCACATTGGTTCTGTGTCTTCTTCTACCTTAGACACTATTATATCTTAGTTTTCTTCTGCTCTAAAACTCTCTCAAAGTTTATTATTTCACGTTTTTAACCTTTAGTTCTCTCTCAATTTCTGAAACTATAGTTTTCATACCCTATTTATCTTTCAATAACACCAAACTGTTCTTTAACATTCGACTATTAGAAGCATACATTGATGCTTATGTATGTTTTTCAGGTTTGTGTCAGTTTTTTTGGTTTTGCCATGATACCCAGTTTATTAGAAAGTATTTAAGACTTACATAAACTTATTTTTTTCAATACTTACAATTAAATGACATGCCAACAGTAAACATTTCCTATAGATTTTGTTTGTTAATATCTCCCTTCCTTGAATTAATAATATTTATTACCTAGTCAACAATTTCAGAAAAAAAAAAACTTTTAAAGTTAAGAAAAGTTCTAAATTTGAGGTATACAAAGGCTATTCTTTTAAAAATTTGGAACTCTTCCTGAATTTGCTTGTCATCCTTGCTCAGGGTCCAGGCTAATCTTCTTCTTATCATTCTACTGTTAGTAAACGTGCTGTCAAAACTAGCATTAATTTTTCTGACCGTAGATTTGTCTATACTAGTATACCTGAGTTTGTATGTGAGTACATGTATGTGTCATTGAATATTTGACTTGTTTTACTTCTACCTTAGTGATTTACCTGTTCTGGAGCTGCACTGGATGAAAAGCACTGAAGTAATTTACATTATGTTTTGTGTATTCTCCAAGTCTTTAGAATATTTTATCTATTATTATACATCTAAAATAATAAAGATAAAAATATAAAGTGATAAAGATAAACTGGAAATAAACTTTAATTACCCTAGAATTGTGATAATTTTTTAACATTTAACACTACATGTATCTAATAGATAGCTCTATCATAAGTTTAGCATGTTTTTTATCATCTTACTTTTAAAAATCTATTTTTATATTTTATGTAGGTATCATGATATAGTTAATTAATATAATTAATATATTAATTGTACTAATAATATAATTAATTAACATAATTATATATAGTTAATAAACATATGCATGTTAAAACATTGTGCTCATATATTAGCTTCCTTTAAACTATAGTTGAAAGGAAATATTTACGTTTGTTACATTTTGTATGAGCCTCTCCCCTCCTCTCCTTGTCCCCTCTCCCTCTCTTTCTCTAAGGAAGGCAGAAATAGAAGCAAGAGGAGAAATGTAATTGACCTGTTGACCAGGTTGTTCTGTTTGGTGAGGCTGTCCCACATGACCCTTGTGAGGTTTACAGTAAAAGCCAAGCAGAGGTCTGGAGGAGAGGGACTAACAGTGTTAGGATCAAAGGCCTAATTGTCTGTTTTCTTGAAGTTAGGGTTATTGGCAGCTGCCATTATACCATCCATGCTGCTGTCACCCAGCACAGCCAACCAGCATGCACTAATTGCAGTGGCCTTTTCATCAAGTAAGATCATCCCACTAAACACAAAGAGCTGTCTTTCCATTAGCACAGACAGTAGCCAGCTAGATCAGCTGGGCTCCTCGAGTATGATTGGACTGTCATATTGTTATGATTTGTTCAAGTTTAGAGCATTTAGCAGATACCCTTTGCACCTCTCTTTGTACCTGAATACTATAACCTGACTGCCCCTATCATTTAAGAGGGTACTATAGCTTTTCAAAGTTCAGCAGCACACAATTGCAGGCAGGCAACTGGTTTCTGACAAGAGATCAATACTGTCCTTCCAAACGCTGGAGTCAAGCTGCTGGGTCTGTCAGAGGGATGTGTGCTGTAATTGGATCATGGATGCTGCGAGTCATCTGAGTTTCCCTTCAGCACTGTCACAGCTGTCAGATGTCATCCCTTTGTACAGCTGTCACTGCAGGAGGGTTGGGGCTCTTTTTCCGTTCTAACCCAATGCAAATGTCCACTTAGCAGATGAATATTGAAGATATTAGACACTTCTTTATGCCTTTATGCAAAATAAAGATCTGTGTCATCTGTGAATTTCATGGAAATAAGTTGCAATTTATTCACTGTGAGAAAAGTGAAGTGAAGCCTGTAAAAATGAGAAATTATTTGGTTCAGGCTATTAAAAAAAGGAATATTTTACAGAATAAACAATAATATGCAGATATTTTTCTTTAGATGGAAAAAACTTTTATTTTGCGGTATTTAGAATGGTCACCTGATATTTAGAAAGGATTTAAAAATATATATATATATATCTTTTGTTTCACTCATATTCTTAAAAGGCACATCTTGAATAGATTTATGTCCTTTGAAATCATTAAAATGTATTGAAAAATATATATGTAATACCTATTTTAAATTAGCAATATGATACAACTTAAGGAACTGAGTTATATTTAAAATTAAGTCGAGTCTCAAGAAAGTTTTTAAGACAGAGAGAACACTCTTAGTAAAAATGAGTATAATATTTTAGTCACAAAATCTTTTTTATCTGAGTTATCACAAATGAAATAGAAAGACATGTCCCTAGTTGGCAAAATAATTATATAACCAATGAGTAACTATTAATTTTAGTTCATTTCCCTTTTGTTTAAATTAAGAAAAAAAACATTCAAATATAAATGCATCTTATTTTATTGTACTTATGCTTATAACACTATATTTTAGAAGTAATAAATGGTTAAATTCTGAAATTATACAACTTAAGTCATGTATATTTGCAACATATAATAAAAATAAAGAGATGCCATCAATGTGGCTTTGGCAATTATAGTCTTAATTCAGGAATTTTATAATATTGAGATGAATCCATGAATTTCTCTTATATATATATTTTTTATTTTACCATTTTCTTTTCGTCTCCCTAAACTGATGTCAGAATCATTTTTAGATGACCGACAGGGTAATTTTGATCTGGGTGGCTAACTTCCTTTTTCTTGAGGTCCAGACCACACACCACCTTCTTTGTCAAACAGGCAGCTTGCACCAGCCCCACTGACAGAGTAGCATGAACCTTATTTTCCAATATCTAACCTTAGCGTCCTATCATCCACCAGGGAACTCACTGGGTCAGCTCCTCAAATATCCAAACTTTTTGTCTCCAGCTGGCATTATGAGGTGACCTCACCTCACTTGTGGTGGCTCAAGTTTTTGGAGCCTAAAATTAGTGACTGTCAAAATCAATACATAGACATTTGGCCCACATTGTAGGAAAGGGCAGTAGGAAACAAATATAACCAATGTTTTCATTTAAAAGATGATATTCTTAAAACAATTATAAAATATGCTAATCAGGATAAGAAGGATTGCATTACCCATTGCCTCAGTTAGCATTTATCTCTCAATGTGATTTTACTTTTACGAGAAGCTAGATAAAAATCTTATGGAAATTAAAATGGTTTACTCCTTTGAAACAAATTATTTAGCAATTAAATCTTAGTTGACTATCACTGGCATAATAAAATAGTCTTCAATAGTTACTTAAGCAGAAAACATAGAAATGAAGTAAAAATTTTAAACTTAGTTTCTTAAGGTTATTCTTCTGTGATAACTGTGAACTTTATATGCAACTCCAGTGACTCAAGTAGGCACTCTTCCTTTTTTTTCTTCATGGTTTATTGGCTAATTACATCAGAGATCCAAAACAGTCTTTTTTACATTTGCATTAATAAGGGTGTCACATGACCACGTTGAAGTAGAAGTATACATCAAAGGTAGATTAAAGGTTGGTTAAGCATCAAACCATGTTCCATATGTAAATTTATAGCAATGATGTGCTGCAGAAAGATAGCTTATCCTCTATTTCTCTGCTACTAAATAAAATTAAAAATTCACAACTCTGTTTTATGGGATTTTAAATGAATTTGATCTCTCTTTTGGGCAGGGCAAATAAGTGTTTTGTGATGTATTATTTTATAAAAAAAAAAAGACCATCGTTCTGGCTCATTTAATTTTGCGAGTGAATGATCTAAGATTAACTACAGACTAGTCAGTGCAGTTTAAAAGCTGAAAGCAATTTTCAGCCATAGATGGTAATGCCACATTCAGTCCACAACCGAATGACTCTAAATGACTAAGCTTCGAGGTCTTTGTATATGACCACAGGGCCTGATAAAGCCATAGGAACACAGTAAAAGCACAAAAATAGTTCCAATTTATTTGGTGCCATCACCTTAATGAGATTAATACAGACGTGTTCATGTGCCTAATTGGTGATTTTGTTTTAACTAGTAATGAAGGATTAAAACTTCAGGCAACAGGCTGCTTGCTGGAAAGAGAATTTGAGGGGGAAACGCTTTTAATTATAAAAGAAAGCCAGTGAAATACAAGACTGCAAAGTTAATAATAATTCTTTAAAAAAATGAACTGATTAAAATGTGTGCCTGAATTGTTCTTGCCATTTTGTGAGAATGGGTGATCTTTATGAGCAGTGCCACATACAGCTTTTATTTACCAATAGACCTTTTGGCATACAAACATATACAGTACTGTTACTTCTTGAGAAAAAGTATTAAAACTGAAAAACATTGACCCTCAAGCTACTGAGAAATTTAGAGTATGTAATATTTTATTCTAATTTATTTTTTAGTGAGTTACTACAACTGTTTGACCTGTGGCTATATGTCCCGCTAAATCCCACAGCATCCCAGTCAACCAGAGTGTCTTTGCAGAAACGTCACCTACGACTTGCAGTGTAGTTCCTCCCCTCAACCTCTAGTTGTAACCGTTTAAATGCTAACACTATTAAGCATGCTGCCAAAACACAAATATTCAGCCTAAGTCATTAAAATTTAATTATAAGGGGGCAGCTGAGCCCAGTTGGAGTTTTGAATCTGAAAAATATTGTTTTTTTTAAACTAATAAAATAAGAATTACTCAACGAAACCTATCAGCATCTGTCTCTACCAGCCCAGTGAACTATGCTTAACTAAAATTACAGGTTTTATCACAGTTCGACATGTCCACAGTCCTCCCGTTAAAACATATTTTGATTATTACTCACCTAGCATAACCATAAAACAGACCATCGTTTTATCTTGTCGTTGTTGGTGGTGAGTTGTAAAACTTGTATGGGTATACATGTCTGTGCCAGCATGTTAGTTTTGTCTTTCAGAACAAATAGTGAAATAAAGGAAGTATAGCCCTCTACTGCCAACTGAATAAAACAATATTATCTAGGTTATTACTTTTTCCCAGAAACTTTGCCAAATGCTAAGGTGTCTTTTTGATTAGTGAAAAAGCTCTGAAATGCAAGAATTTGGTCTTTGATGTTCTATTATGAACCACTTTAAAAGGACTCTGGGTAGTGATACTGTGCAGTGTAAGATGCTACCTTCCCAGAGAATGAAGACAAAAATATATTTTACATTTCTTGTCAGATTGAACTTTAAGACATCCTGACTGCTTTCTCCATAATTTAAACATCACAGCCCAAATGGCAACATGCTTTGTTCAGTTCCAGTTGTGTGGAGTTTTAGTGCTTCATCGATTCAGAAGAAGGCTGAGGCTGGCACGGGGAGCAGGGCGACAGAATCACACTCTCACTGCAGCATGTCAAGCCATTATATCTGGGCCCAGAATGTCACTGTGGTCTCAATGGTTCG